AATACAAGATAGAAGGATAAAGACATTTGAACCATGTAGATTTGCACAAAAAGAGGCCTATTACTATTTCATACTCGTTTTCATTCATTTCAAACACATCCAAGCTGTGACTGAGCCATGATGAGCCTAGCATTGTAATATTTCCAAAGCATTAGACACAAACATACAGTCCATTTAGCAAAGTACAAAATGTCATTGTTTCAAAAAGGCAGTAGAACAAATTACAACATCTAGGAAGGAAGAGTGACATTAGCATCATTGTCGGAGGGATTAGCTCGAGAGGCCTCGCCGCCTGCTGGGTGTGAGCTCGACGCCTCAGCTGGATTGATCGAAGAATCTGCACCATCCACAACCACTTGGGTTCCCTCAGGAGTTATTGGCTGGACCACTATAGGGGTAACAGGAGGAACAATTTTATCCATAAGTCCACGTCGGAGCAAACACTTCCCAAAGGTCTCGTTCCACCAGACATGCCCCAAAGGAAGAGTTGGATCGCCCTCAAAACCAGTGGGGCAGTTAGGCAGTTTCTTAATAAGGGCCTCGCCAGTAAAGCCTTGGGCATGCACCTCGTCTATAGCAGTTTGCATGAAAGCTGGAACAAGTTTCTCCAAGAATCGAGGTGATCGGCAGAAGTCTTCCTGTTGTCGTCGGTAGGATTCGAGGAAGGCCTCACAGACCTTCGACCTGAAGAAGAATTGTCTGCCCTCCAACCGACCTCGAGTGACGGCTTGATCAGAGTCGGGCTTTAGCAAAACTAAAGGCATTGCCTTGTCGAGCTTCTCCTTGATTTCCGTTTGACGAGCCTTGGCCTCTGCAAGCTCGTCCTCTTTGGCCCTCATTTCATTCTGGTGGCAACGGTCACGTTTGGACAGCTCGGACGCCAGCTCGACCTTAAGCTCGTTGAGCCGCTTCACTTGAGCGACCAAGTCCTTGTTCGCGGCTTCAAGGTCTTGGATGGATGGGCCCGATCCTCCGACGTCCTCTTCGGGAGTCACCACCTCAGTGCGATGAGTACGCGCCTGCTTTTTCGGCAGAGACTCCTGTTTGGAGTGCCGTCGTTTTTTGCCAACCCATGTCACGGGCTCCTTAGGTCGAGAGCACTTAGGGTCCTTTTGCTGGGACTCGGAGCGCCCTTGGGGAGGGGAAGCAGTTTTTTTCCCCTTGGAGCCGGAGGAGGAGTGAGGCCCCTTTAGCTTAAACAGTCCCTCTGCAATAAACCAAGAAAAACAACTATTAGCATAAAGTTACAATAAACGCACACAATAAGGTGGAAGTGTTGGGTATTTGATCGCGGGTTAAACGTGCACAACGTCAAGGAGATAGGCCGCAGTGGGACAAAAGTGGCTCGTTCTCGAGGAGGATCCAAAAAGAAACTTGGAATTTATTCCATTCGACGACTCTGAGCTTGAAGTCGGTCGAAGGAGGCGGTAGAGGCAAACGGCAGGTAAAAGTCTCGAGGCAGGTTGGGTCGAGGGGAAGAGGAGATGCAGGTCGAACAAAGAAATACCGTGTTTTCCACTTGTGAATATTAGAAGTCATATCGTTTATAAAGTGCCTCTTTGGCCTTCAGGTATAATGTGCCTCTTTGGCCTTTAGCAATGAAGATATAGAAGAAAAAGTCGAGGTCGATGCAGCCTAATATGTGGTAGGATAGAATAGCGTAGACAATTAGTTGACGGATGGAGTTTTAAGCTCGTATGCTTTCCTTGCTTGCTCATACCATTGGGGTTGAGGTTAGACCGATATTAGCAACATTAGTTCCCCTTTCCTTAACTATCTCTTCGGTAATAAACCCTAGGTCATAGGAATTAAGGTTGGGTGACAATTGATTGATGGGGACCCGAATACATTGCAGAGGTCGAAAAGGGCAGGACTAATAGGAAACCTATAAGTTTATCTAGTCTTCAAAAAAGGTAAAACAACAGGTTGGGGGATGGTCGTAGGCATCCATGGGTCGAGGCGTCAGCAGGAAATCAACATTGAGCATAAAAACTATCGAGCCACCCCTCCTGAAAGGTGCTCGGTTGACGAGTCACGGTGACCATGTCTTTGGCAGTGGTATCTGTGGCCTCAAGAACAGTTTCGCATTAAATGAGGCACACGGGCTACAACTCTCCAGGCAATGCAACTATAAAAGGGAATAATGGACGTGCATCTTTTCACCGGAAAACTCCTCCGGTGTGAGAGAGAGTTCTGCAGGTCCAAAGGCGTACAACCAGCGATCGAGCTCAAGATCTAGTCGTTTCCAGCCGGTCGGAGGTCTTTACGATACCAAATAGTAAATGGGAATAATGGTCGCGCGAACTTGCCACTTGTAAGCAACTTTTTTCTAGAAATTGCATGACTAATAGATCTCATATCAGGATTGTTCTAATTTGATTATTAGAAATTGCAATAATTCTTTTTTCACTTAGGTAAGTCTTTGTTTTCCCCTTTTTACTTATATAAATTTCAAAAATGTTCAGATCTAAGCCTGCCTTCTACAATTATAAGCAGCTTTAGATTCCAAAAACAGAACAAGAAAGGAAAAGAAAGAATAACAAAATAAAAACAAAAGAAAATGCAGAGGGTTTAAACTCATTTTCAACGATTCATTAAATAAAATCAGAGTCTTAGTTCAAATAACTAATGCATTGCACTAATCGAACCATCAAAGCTGAAGGAAATACCAGAATTCCATGCACATCAAAAAGCTACGGTCGCCAAAAGTTGGTAAAGCTCAATACGAGTAAACTGAGCAAATATAAAGTATTAGGCCCATTTATGTCATTTACTTCCCATACCTAAATCAAGCGGCTTATCACCCTCGCTAGTTTCCATGCGAAGGGAATTTTGACCCGAAGGTAAACCAGGAGTTTTTACCACACTTGCATCATTCTCTCCAGTCGAACACTTAACTAAGCTCCTACAGCCTGCAGCCATGCATCAGACAGGTTACAATTATGGTAAAAAAACCTCTTGCGTAAAAAGGTATGACAGAAACGAGCCTTAAGTACATTTCAAATTACACGTGCCACTATATCAGGTTTAGATATAGACAAGGATTAATAAATAAAGATTCTGTAGCCTAAAACAGGCCCAAAAGTCGGGCAAACAAGAGAATTTCCAAAGTTGGCATATGTTTTTATCTAAATGGAATTAAATTGACATCAAAGCTCGAATTTGGTAAAACTAAATTCGGAGTAGCAAGAATCTTGTATTGTAGACTAACCATTCAAGGTCTGATCTTTGCTAACTATTCAGCATCGAATATTAGTACGGCAACAAAGATAACTATTATAAAGAAGATTACAGAGAAGATAAAACAAACACATGTCAAAACTTGCATCTCTTTATTATATACAAGATAAGATAACAACATCCAAATACACATTCGACAACTAAATCAAAACTTATATAAGTACCTTTCTTCAACAAACCACAACTTCTACTTCCATCTCCAGCACCATGCAACGTATCCCCATTTCCCGATCTTCCGGTTTTACCCCTAGATTGTTGAAAATTCAAATTCCCCCCCTCCACAGCCTCATTAGTTTTCTGGATTTTCATACACAAATCCTTGATCTGTCTCCTGTACAACTCAACCACCTCATCGGACTTCGATTTCTTCACCTTCAAGTCATTCACTATCCTGCTCGCCTCGACGATTGCCCCATTCAATTCCACAATGATCTTTGAAGCTCCCGATTTCTCTTTCTTCAACTCCTCAATTTCTTGGCCCATTTTCGCCACAAGTGTATCGAGAGATTTACATTTCTCATCACCAGCTCTGGCTAACTGCTCACTTTCCGAATTTTTTTTCTTCAGCCTCCGAGTCAATTTGGCGATCATCCTATTCGACTCACAAACCTTTCCCTTCAATTCCACAATGGTATTTGAAGCTCCCGATTTTTCTTTCTTCAACTCATCAATTTCTTGGCCCATTTTCGCCACAAGTGTATCGAGAGATTTACATTTCTCATCACCAGCTCTGGCTAGCTGCTCACTTTCCGAATTTTTTCTCTTCAGCCTCCGAGTCAACTTGGCGATCATCCTATTCGACTCACAAACCTTTCCCTTCAATTCCACAATGGTATTTGAAGCTCCCGATTTCTCTTTCTTCAACTCATCAATTTCTTGGCCCATTTTCGCCACAAGTGTATCGAGAGATTTACATTTCTCATCACCAGCTCTGGCTAGCTGCTCACTTTCCGAATTTTTTCTCTTCAGCCTCCGAGTCAACTTGGCGATCGTCCTATTCGACTCACAAACCTTTCCCTTCAATTCCACAATAGTATTTGAAGCTCCCGATTTCTCTTTCTTCAACTCATCAATTTCTTGGCCCATTTTCGCTGCCAGTGTATCAAGAGATTTACATTTTTCATCACCAGCTCTGGCCAGCTGCTCACTTTCCAAATAAATTCTCTTTAGCTCATTAAGCCTCCGAGTCAACTCGGCGATTGTCATATTCAACTCACAAACCTTTCCCTTTAGTTCCACAATGGTATTTGAAGCTCCCGATTTCTCTTTCTTCAACTCATCAATTTCTTGGGCCATTTTCGCCTCACTTTCCAAATTTTTTCTCTTCAACTCATTAAGCTTCCCGGTCAACTCGGCAATCGTCCTATTCGACTCATAGACCTTCACACTCTTTAACGCACCCGATTTCTCCTTCTCCAACTCCTGAATCTCTAGGCCCATTTTAGCTTCCATTGTATCAAGCGATTTACAATTCTCCTCATTTTCCAAGCTCTTGCTCTCTCGCTCGTTAACCATCTTGTTCAACTCACATACCAACTCATTCTTTTCGATCACCAACTTCATATTGTCGGCAAAAATCCTGTCACGCTCCTCCTCGGCCCTTTTCTCAAGATTCTTGAACTCTCGATTTTCCTCAACCAGCCGGACAACGCTCTCTTCCAGCTTCTTCCACTTGTTATGGCTTTTCTCCAGCTTATCCTCAAATTTAAACCTCTTGATTAACTTCATACTTCTCTCGACCAGACAGACCTCATTCTTAGCCGAATCACGTTCTATAACGAGACTTTCAATCTCCATTTTCAAGTTGTTCTCTCGCTCGATTAGGGCATTCTGGACCTCGACGAAATCACGCTCACGGAACGAGTACCTTATGTGTTCAACCAGTTGGGAAATGGGCAAGCTTTTGGAAATAAATCTTTCATCAGAGTCTAATGAACCCATTTTTTTTCCTGTCACTTTTTCAACCACTTTATGCTTCCTAAACCCACACAATAAAAAAACTTTCAAAGGTCGGAACTTGGTAACAAAAGACAATCACAAAATACATATTCTGACCACATAAAAAACAACAAAAGTAAAACAGAGAATAAAGTTTGAGCATTTTTACCTGCGGAGGCGACGTCACTGAAAATCCTCGAACTCCGACAAAAAGCCTCGGATGGTTTGTTCGTCCTTTCTGGGTTTGTAAAAAAGACTGCTTTTTTTTTTTTTACTGAAGTAAAGAAGATGAAGGGCTGCACGAAGAAGAACAATTAAACAAGGAAACAAGCGATGGAGCTTTGGGGTTCAATGGAAAATCGGAGATGAAGAGCGATTTACAAAATTTCAAAGGGTTTTCATTTTTTGAGAAGAATTGTTGCTTTGTTCTTAAGTGATTCTGCAATACTGTGTGTGAGAGAGAGATAGTGAGAGAGGTCGTGGGCATATTGTTGGCAAATGGCAAGTGCGAGGGGTGTGTCCGATGTTCCATAGAATTACTGTACCAACCTAATTGTGTTGTTCGAGTCTGCCAAAATATTTTTCAACTTATGTATACAATATTTGATAGTATATGCGGGTTTACCCATTTCATGTTCAAACAGCATCGAACAATAATTTGTATTTTAAATTTATAAATTTTAGTGTGAGCCAATCTTATTGTTAGATGGGTCGGCTCATCATATTTGATAACAAAAATACATATTTATAACTTTACCTTATTGTTAGATGGGTCGGCTCATCATATTTGATAACAAAAATACATATTTATAACTTTACCTTATAACATTTGAATCAAAAAGTATACATATTTGTCAACAAGATATGATTTTTTTTTTAAAACAACAATTATATTAATAACTGAAAACTAAAAGATCACAATCAATGTGTCAACAGAGACGGCTCGAACCAAAACAAAGACGTAGTTAGACTAACAAAATGAAAAACAAAGATAAAAAATTATATGAGTGAATGTATAATAAATTAAAGTTGAACCAATATAATGTTGTTTAATTAAACAAGTCTGACTCAGCTAGGCTCAACTTGTTGAAGTTCTAGTTTCAAGCCTTATCGATTTGGGTAGTCATGCGGTTTGTCTGCTAGGTTTAACAGATGTTTTATTCTATTTGTTTATTAAGTGTTTTGTTCTTATTTTTCTTTGTTTTTTCTTTATTTTCTTTGCTTTTGTTATACATCCAATTTACATCTCTCTCTCATACAACACTAAATCAACGTTAATTATTTTATTTTAAATATTATTTTAATATAAACTCAAAATTCAACTAACAACTACCTATATTATTTTTTTCAAATTTAATTCTGATTAACCATATAATTTTAATCGGATACATTTGTGGACGCCCTCAAACTATTACCTGCCATTTCCAAGTTCCGATCCATGCCACATCAGTCGAGTCGTTTTCCGTTGCAACATGGTTAGTGAGAATATGAAATAGAACACCCTCCTCAGTGTCACTAATCACAGTGCTTAGGGTAATAACATAAAAATAAAAGGGAAAACGAATTAGCCAGTTTCTAAAACACAAACCAAAACTGCTACTTCATACAGAATGATAGTACAACAAACTCAGGGTACGTGTCTAACGTCAAAGCTCGAAATGGAGAAGAATAAAGAAAGAAAGGAAAAGGAAAGGAAATTATTCCCAACTGTATATCAACAAAATCCAATGAAGATAGCAAAGCTTTGTACCAAGCTAATCATCATCAGAAGAAACAATCTTCTGCTTCTTCCACTTGTATGCAGCTTCCAAGATTTTGAGGTTTGTAGTCTGAGTCTCTTCAGGGAAAAGATAATCAATATATTCCTCATACCTGCAGGTTATTGCAATGAAAATGTAACCATGTTATGAGTTTTCACATTCACATGCACTGAGAAGGGAACACAAAAATACCAATAAAACTCCACCAATATCAAATACGCAAGAGAATATCCATGAAATGGGATGAATTTTGCAGAAATATCATCTGGCCGGGTTAAAACAAACATGAGCATTGGACTAACACTTGAACTCATACACGAGAGAATCACAATAGCAGGCAACGAAGGCCAAATGAATTATAGACATGTTTAAGGTAGCATGATTTTATATATTTAATTTTACTTTTGAGGCATAACAAAGAAACGAGAGCCATAGGAAAAGAAAGCATACCCAGCTGGACCATCCTCAGTTTCTATATGCCGTCTCTTTTTAAGTTTCTTCGGCAACTTAACTCTGACCAAGTCAACATCACCAAGCTCGCCAAAGCTGCTTTCCATGTTCAACCACTCTTCCAAGAGCATGGCCCTTTCCTCTTTCAATTCAGGAGCAGAATTTCGGAAATAGCTAAGGGCTCTTTCAAAAACAGCTGGCAAACCGTGAAAATTGTTATATTACACTGGCGATAAATTAGACCACACTAGAGAATGACAAAGGAACGTGACTTATGTAGGATTTTTATTTTCTTACCTCTGGCACGTTGTAGACCCTTTTTCTTCTGCTCATAGTCACTTTCAGACAAGTCTGATTCTTGAAGACCCTCTTCCATAGCAGATGCCTCAAACTTGGCATAACTGATCCACACCTTCAAATGTTTTGTACGGTCCAAAAGCCTCTCATAAAGTGCCCTAGTTCTCTCAAATTCAAATTCAGATATTTCAAAATCAATATATGCCTGTCATAAATCAGATCAATACAAAGTTAGAGTATCGATTTCACGGTAAAGAAACAGAGGTACGAAATGAAAAATCTCAAAAAATCTCAAGATATTAATATAAATAGATGAAGTCCTACTTGGCAAAAGCTGCACCCCTATACACGTGGAAGAAGAAGAAGAATAAGAAGAGAAGAAGAAGCAGCATTTCAATTGAATGAAAAAATTGATAAAATTTCACACAACATAATACTAAATTTGCTCATGATGAGAGCAATCTCAAACCAAGCGTTTGCAAGACCTGGGAGAAGAAGACGAAGAAGAAGACGAAGCATTTCAATTGAATGAAAAATTTGATAAAATTTCACACACCATAATACTAAATTTGCTCATGATGAGAGAAATCTCAAACCAAGCGTTTGCATGACCTGGGTACCTTCCACAAAAGCTCTGGCATGTCCAACGCAGGCTGGTCAATTGCAAGCTCAAAAAGAGCTCTGGCTCTTTCAGTTTCCGCCAAGGATCTCTCCAGCTCAGCATACTTGCTCCATGCATAGCAGTTCTCCGGTGACCATTCTAAATACTTCTCATACAATTTTCTGCACCGTTCTATATTACCAAGTTGCAGCTCTATCTCAATGTACTTCTTAAATATCTGTTTGGAAACGACCAATTTAGAGCTAAGTTAGGATTAGATGGGAAAAAAAGTTCAACTGAAAAAGCTCTATGAATCAACTCCATAATACCTTATCCTTGGGAGCCATGCCTATTGCTGATCCCAAAATTCGCCGTGCACGATCAATATTTAATTGGCGTATTTCAAACTGAGCAGCCATCAGCCAAATCTTCGCAAATGAAAATTTTCCATGAGGTATCATCTTCAGACATAAGCTGTTGAATTTTGAGGTGATTCAGTATAGCTCAGTCAGGATAAATTTTCTATCTGGAAAATAGTCAACTTTAACATAATCAAGTAACTAAGAACACAAATTGAAAGAAATGATGGTAAAAACTCTCTGAATGGCTAACCACATAATAGTACGACAGCTCTACATATGGTTATCCTTACTGCACCCATTTATAGCATAGGGAAATTCTATTTACCCTCAAGGGTAATTCATGAACACTTTCTCACACCCACCCACATGCGTGGGTGATGGTGTGGTGAATAGAGTGTGTGAATAGACCAAAGTTGGTCTCCCTCTGAAAAAATAGACAATCTGCATTTACCAAACTTCCATGTATAGTTGTATTTACAGTGGTGATAAGAGCAATGCTTGATGATGAACGAGTCAGAATGCAATTATTTATAAAAATTTAACTTAATTCAGATCCGCCAATCTGATCAGTACCCAATCGGGATTCTGCACATGTATTTTTTATACTATTACTATATATCTAGCATCAATCTATGAAGATACTTATAATACACCACTTGATCCTCATATCAACTATGATAGCAATTCCCGCATGCCTACTAGTCATCATCTTACTTGTATATATCTCTTGTCCGTTCCACATCCTGCGCCTCCAGCTCTTCATACAGAACATAATTAACCCTGATAACAAAACAAATTCAATTAGTAATCAAAACATAATGCCTATCCACACCATGTAATGTGACATCACCACGTCAAGATACAAGCGCCATACTCACCACAAATATATGTAGCGCTGCCAATACCGCTTCTCCTGGGCCGGGGGCATATTTGCTATAGCCCTCTCGTAAACATCCTCAATCCTCTGCCTGTCCCCACAGCTCTCCTCTAACCGGATATAATCAAACCAAGCATCGTAATTAAGCGGGTTCTTCCTAACCTCATCCTCGTACTCAAACCTCCTCTTCCCAACAATGGCATCTTCGATCCCCTCCCGATCCCCATACTGCTTCTCAAACCCAACGAATTTCTTGTAAAGCTCCTCGGCCCTCCCTTTTGGGATGTGATCAAGTGCATACTTATATATGCACCTAGCTCGCTCAGTCTCCTTACACTTCTCCTCAAACTGTGCAAAAGCCACAAACAACAGCTCAGCTTCCTCATCGTCCCCCAATCTCTCCACCGCCCTCTCGTAACAGTTTCTGGCACGTGCAATATCTCCATTTTTCATCTCGAACTTGGCAAACCTAATCCACGCAGAGACCTTCGGGTGGCAATCCACAAACCGTTCGAAAATCGAGCGTGCCCTCTCGACCTCGTTGTACCTTAGCTCGAACTTTATGTACGAGAGCCACCCCTGCTGATCAGGCATCCACCTCATCCACCGCTCGAAAATCTGCCTGGCGCCAGCCACGTTCACGAGCACCTCCTCCATATGAATGTACTTGTACCAGAGCTGGTCAACCCTGGGCAGCAGCTCAGTGGCGCGGTCCCATACGTTCCTGGCGTGGTTGATGAACTTGTTCTTCATCTCGAAATCGGCGTACTTGAGCCACAGCGTGTGGTCCCTGTAGTCCACCTCGAGGGCGCGCTCCCAGACGGACCTCGCGCGGGCGAAGTCCATCTGTGACTCTTCCCACTTGGCATACTTCACCCAGACGCTCTTGTTCCATCGCACTCGCCGGATTAGGTCCTCGTACTCCTTCCGCTTGCGGAGGCGGTATTCCGCGAGCTCGGTGGGGTCGGTGATTTTCTGCTTGGGCGGACGGATTTCAGCCTCCTGGCGCTCGCGGGCTTCCCGGAGGATCTGCTCGGCGGTGATTTGAATCGCCGCCGGGGTTTTGTTCTTGACGCGCGTAGGACGGGGCAGCTTCACCTCCGTCTCTTTCTTCGTGAGGTAGCCGAGATTCCGGTCGGATTCCGACATTGTTGTGCTCCAATTGTTGTGCTTCGGCGAGGGTTTGGATTTCGAATAACCCTTTTCGCTTTTCGCTATGAGGTTTTGGGGGAAAGTAGTTTCAGGGAATTCTCCAAGAGATGCGTTTGGGAACAAATACGAGAACAGTTCATCCCATTGTATGTTTATGGCCCAATAAAGGAATGGGCCTTGATAATGTGTGTGTAGCTTCCCATAAATAATGTGGGAGGCCCATAAATTATATTCTTTTATATAAATAAAAAAAATGGCCTTGTTAATTTATTATACTTTTAAAAAGAGATGTAAGAATAGGAGAATTGAAAATAAAATCATAACTAAACCAATACAAATGAGTCATTAACTAAAAAACAATAAGATTTCAAGACCAGTGACAATAATAAACGACAAATCAATCATTCATAAATCGTAAAAGTTAGTAGATTTGTGACTATAAAAAAAAAAAATATAAATATACAAATAAATAATATCTTAAATGTAAACGGAAAAATTTTCAAAATAAAAAAAAAAAATTAAAAAACTTTTGTTGCTATGAAGCACGAGGAGATTTTACTTTGTGTCAATTAGGTGGTATGTAGGCTTTTGTTGCTTTACATGCATGGTGCTTTCATATTAATAGGTTTCATGCTACGTGAATTTGAACTTGCTCGATCTGTTCAATTGGGACTTTATAATGCAATCGCATTCTTCGATCTTATAATTGTTCTTGTTTTTTATTTGTTTATTTGTGATTTTATTCAAAATATCGTATCTTTTCGAGATCTTTCCAAAAAATGATGTTGATATCCGAGTTGAGATGTGGAGCCCAACTCCAGTCGAAGGATAACGATTGAATAGTGAACCCGGAGTAAAAACAATCGGGTACAGAGCGAGAATCAAGCAAGACACCTAGGTCGTGTATCCTTAAGTGTAAAGCCGATCAGAAAATTGTTAAGGCGAGCAGAACCGAGCTCAAGACTTAGATAAGAAGAACCAAAAGCTAATATTAAAGACCCGAGCTAAGCGCACTTAGTCTGCACAAAATATTAAAATAACAATCACTTGAAGCCTAATAACTGTCAGCCTACGTGTTGTAGCCTCATTGGACCACATGTCGCAATTAATACGTGCCCTTTCGATTTAATGCTTGATGTACTATCCGATGAGTAATAGCATAGTTCTAAAAATCATTTGTAAAAGGGTTCAAAAAAATTCTATAACTCAAGACATATATTCTCTCATTTAATACAACAATTAATATGAGCACCTAAGCTCTTAACGCCAAAATCCGACCTCTTAGTCCTTTAACTTTTCAGCAATATTATTACTTATAATTCTAAACTAAAATAGATTAAACATCATATAATTGTCGCGNTGAGAGGTACTCACGTTGATGTTGTGCCGACGATTTAGCTCTCGTTGATGTTGTGCCGACAGTTTAGATGTGATCAAATGAGCGTAGGGCGGTATAGGAGGTGGACTAGACGATTGGTGTTCATGTTACGATTATGCTTTTAAGTCATTATATTCAATAGACTTCACGGTATTCCCACGGCGAGCTACTTGGTTTGCGCACCCCCACTATTTCCCCCTTTCAGGTTGAGCTGGTGACAGCGACAAAAGACGGGCGTGCGGGGTCATATTTGATTGTGATTTTTTTTTTATAAAAATTGAATGGTCATTTGTGTAAAAAAGAAAAACGAAATGTGATTAGTTTTGTAAACGGTTGTTCTAAAGACTCATATTTGGTATATATTTATTGATATTAACTCTGACTTTATGACTTATGTCCAAAACCATTATTCTTTAAACCGGACCACCCGGTTCAACTGATAGGATCGGGAATCGGCCTTCATTCCGGTCCGGTTTGCTGCATCAAACCGCCGAGCATGAGAACCGATAAAAAATCGTTTGAACCGGTCCAAAATCAGCTGAACCGGCAAACCGGGACATGTTTGAATGGTTCACCTGTTCAAGTTTTTGAATTTGAAATTGATTGATTGTGAAGTGATTTAAATAACACATTTTTTTTACTTGTGTTTCCAATGTGAATATGTTCCCTTGCTGAAATTACTGGGCCAATATTGAGCCTTCTAAGCAAAATTGTGCTTATTAAAAAAAGGGAAATTTTTATTTCTCCCACACGTTTTGTCTTTAATTGCATCTATACTATCTATATGCAATATATTGCATTAATACCTAACTCTACCAAAATAATTAGTATTAGCATGAAAAAAAAAACGGTCATATCCCCTTAATTTGTGTAACTGATGAGATTACATTTGCTATGATTTTTGGTTACCAAAAACAATAACCGTCTTTCCCCATAAATAGGGCAACTGATATAATAATTGTCAAAGGGACCTTCCTAAAATCACACACATATATGAATTCGCTGGAAAAGAAAAAAAGGTAAGTGAATATAAACTATTTTTTAGGAATCTGTTGTTATCAGCATGGAAAGAAATATAAATTAAATTTTAAATATACTCTCTCTCTCTCTTAAAATATATTAAAAACACGATTAATAAAGATACAGTATATACACGATCACAAATTATGTATATTTTAGGTATATTTTATGTATATGTTGGGATCTGAATGAGATCCGCAGTTCAGGGATCGAGTGTATATCTTAGGTATATTTTATGTATATGTGGGTTCTGAAATCGATTTTATGTATACCTTAGGTATAATTTATGTATATGCGGTCAATCTTCTTGTTCTTGGGCGATTTCTTGAGAAGGGCCGCAGTGGAGGGATTTTTTGGATGCTATATTACTCGGACGGAAACATATACTGAAAATATACGGTATATACCCATAACATATACTCGGTCTCTCTCTCTCTCTCTCTCTCTCGGCGTTGTTCGGGTCACGGCAAGGGCTGCTTCTCGCTCTGTTTGAGGGGATCGTGTGGGTTGCTTCGGGGCGATGACTCTCGGCGATGGCAGAAAAGGAGGCGTGCGATGCCGGGCTAAGGCGTGGCTGTTTGCGGCTGTTGGAGGTGGTTCGACGACTAACGGATTTGTGAAGGGTGAATTGTAGAAGAAGAAGAAAATTAAAGAGGAAGAACAGTAGAAGAAGAGAAAAAAAAATAAAGGACGAACTGTAGAAGAAGAAGAAGAAGAAGACGAGAGAGGGAGAGAGAGAGGGAGAGGGAGAGAGAGAGAGTGGGAGTGATGGGGATATTAAATCCCATTAAGTTAGGTAACTAATCCCAATAAATGTGGTGGGGATATTAAATCCCATTAAGTCAGTTAATGACATAATGTGGTATTTGTGCAAATAAAATCACTAGACTGTGTGAATATATTAATATTTACAAAGTTGTTATATTTATGTAATAAAAAAAAAAAACTGATTGTACAGTGTGCAATTTCCTCTTAAAAAATGTACTATTTTTTAAATTGGAACTAGTACGGTACCAGTGCGATGCACAGGAGCATTTACTACCCATTTATTTTTTAAAAGGTATTTTTGTATTTAAATTGTCTCATGCCATTAAAAATTTCATGAAAATAAAATTTATATGTTATTAAACACTTCCTTATATACAACATTATTGATTTGATTTTTTGGTACGTAAAATACTACATAGGTGTTGATATTTATCCAAAATTGCATATTATTAGTTATTAGTTAACAAATTTTAAAAAAGTTAAAGGATCTTATTTATTAAACAAAATTAAAGTAGAAAAAAAAGTAGAATTTTTTAGGGATTTTTACCCATTATTTATTTTAAATCTAATTCTAAATTCCAATTAAGAAAACTTGAAAAGAATCATTAGTTACTCCTGGAAATGACACCGATTTTCCTACCAATAACCGATTTTTTTATCAAACAAATTGATTCAAATTTTTTTTAAACCAAATAAAAAAAATCATCAATTTTTCCTAAAAATGCAACCGAATTTTCCTAACATTGCACCGATTTTTGTACCAAACAAATTGAATTGAAAATAATTCTAATAAAAAATTGAAATAAATTGCTAATGTTTATGCAACTGTCTCTTTCCTAAAGAAAATGATATGAACTTAACCAAAAAAAAATAATACTAATATGAACTTACCAAAATCTCGGTAAAACATGGTTAATAAAATACAAAATAATCCAAAAAAATTGATGCATTTAAATTTTGAAAAGTTGCACATAATTTTTCCTAAATAATTGGATAAGGTGGCTTTAAATATCAATGATGAACCGCTTTTGTTACCAAAAAATGTGGACACAATTTTGAATGTACATCCCATCTAAATATCAGTTTTATTTTAAAATAAAAATTGCACGTGGCTTTATCCAATTTACGCAATTTTTTTGAAAGAAAAAATTATTCAATAAGATTGGGATAATTGGTTAAGAATTATACAACTATTTGCTTCATAAATTTGTATCCAGTTTGCAAGATTTTTAAATTAATTTGTATTTAGAATTGTTTTCATAAATAATTGACATATTTTTTGCATAAGAATCTCCAAATTTGTTATCAAAAAAGATATGATTTAAATTTTGGTAAAAAAATAAAATATGATACGAAAAAAATGGGATTCAAATTTTGCCATAAAAATCTCCAAATTTGTTACCAAAAAGATAGGATTTAGATTTTGTTACTAAAGATTTACATGTGTTTTTTTGAACTTTCTATTAATAGTAAGTCAAACATTATATTTACTTGTGTGTACCCCGTGCGATGCACGGGAACAATATTAAATTAACAATATTATAAATAGACCTCTAATTTGAGTCAATGGCGGAAGTGAAAACTATTATTGATCCTATTTAAAAAGAGGAAGAAAAAAAATAATTATAAATAAAAGAGGAGGATAAACAATACTTAATAATTATAAATTAAAGATTCGGGGTCAAACAATGTAAAATTATTTTGTATAAGAGAATATAAAAAAATTTGATTACACACCATTTCAAAATTTTTATTATACTTTTTTGTGTGGTTAGCTTAGAATATTTGTAATAATATTAGTAATTAAATCGATGAAAATTAGCTTCTTAAAGTAGATAATAGATTTCTAGTAGTAATTATGAATTGGTTTCTATTTTATTTTATTTTTTTTTAGAGATAATGGATTTCTAGTAGTAATTATGAATTAGTTTCTATTTTATTTTATTTTTTCAAATCTGTATAGA